GTTCTGGATCCATATGACCTTGCCGAGCGCCTTGACGAGCGCGATCTTGCGCGCCAGGTGCAGGCGCGGGTGCGACAGGATGGCCTCGGTCAGCACGTCCTGGATCACGGCCAGCCCGGCGCCGATGTGCATGTACTCGATGTGCAGCGGGTACGTCCTGCCGATGCCCGTGTGCATCATGCTAAAACCAGGAAATATGAGCTGATCTGACGATGAAACTTGAAATGAGATGAGAGACGGTATGTTTTTGCTCACCCAACCTTGTCCAGGTACTCCCAGAACTCCATCTGCGTGGGATCCGTGCACAGCTTCTTAAGGTATGCGCGGAGGAACATCTTGCGGTGCAGGATCTGGGGGCTGTCCTCGTCGGGCACGTCGTCCATGGGGCCCTCGAACGCCGTGCTGCGCGTCTGGAAGGCCCGCGCCGTGATGTCGTACTGCAGCAGCTTCTTGTACACGATGTTGACCACGGCGGGGATCAGCGCCTGGATGTACTTGCTGCCCGATGTGAGGGCCTCGACATCGTCTGAACCCCCCCAACGCGTGTCAGCTTCTTGGTTTGATGCAACCGTGTCAGACGTTTGCAGGTTTACGTACTGGCGCCAAAGTCGAGGAACGAGTGCAGGTACCGGATGCGCGCTTCGAGGCTCGTGTAGAGCGACTTGCGGTCAATGTGCTGCATCACGGGCGATCTCGAGAAGGGCGCCATCGCCGGCTGTGATGCGGAAGGAATGAAACGAGATGAAATGATTCGCAAATGAAATTTCGTACGATTTCCAGGGGGAAGGCGCGGCGTTGTAGAGTCAGATCATGGCAAGCCGCCGAGGAGAAAAGGGGGAAGGAGCGACGACAGGGTTGACGATGGAGTACTCCGTAGGTAGGTAAGGTCACAATAACATGCCCCGTGAGACTGGATCCGGGAAAGCAGGGGGCGGGGGTAGAAGAGATGAAGAAAAGACCACTCTTGAGAGGATTTTATCGGGTTTTACTGAGGCCATGATCGGGGATGGATGGATTGAAAGCTCGAGCTAGGTGTCGGTGAGGTGGTCTGAGGATGCCGCAGGGTCCCGACGTGGTTCGATGATACTAGGGGCCGTCAGGCCATTCGGAGGTCAGCGGCAAGAGCGGCCCAGCTGATTGGCCCGCCATCACGCTACCTATCTACAAGCATATGGATACCTTGGGTCAAAAGGACTTGCTTCCATTCCTAAATCTAAATCCTAAACTTCCTCAGCCGGCCTTTGATGGCCGGGTTTGAGCTTGCGCTGATGGCTTCTTACTTCACCGATACGGCTATTTTATCGAGAGGACGGTCTCTTCCCACATTCGCCCAACCTTCAAGTTTTCAACACTCTTATTCCGTGATTAATTACAGCTGGGATTGCAACTAATAGTGAACCCTAACCCTGCGATCTCTCGCATCCGCGCAAAGTGTTTCGAAACGACGTGAAAAACAGCGGGATACATTCATCCCGGCCGTATATGCTTACCAGAATCTCGTTGAACCAACTCAGCTCTTTGGTAGTGCGAGAGCCGCCCTCACGGAAAGTATCGTGGGCTGTTCGGAGCGGGAACAGGACCGACGTGGGTCCAAACAGCTTCATCTCGTCTTGCATGAGATAGCCGACGCTTTGGCAGATCATCGTCGCTAGGTGTACGGCCTCTTGCATGAGAGATGTTTTGGAGATGCCGTGTCTCGAAAACTCGTCCACGAGGACTAGCTCGGGGAAAGAGGTTGTCAGCATATCCACGTTTGTGAGGCAGATGGCCTTGAACGCCCATAAATTCGTCAGTGCGTTGGCATCTGTGATGCTCCGAAACCATATCCAAGGTTTGCCGTATGGACCGGCAGCCGGCTTGACCCAAGACATGCTGGATGTCCGTGTGATGGGCTGGAATCTTTCTTCCCACTGCCTCAAGCGGCCGAGCAGCGCCATAAATCCATGGACCGCCTCTCTTGCAGCAGGTATTGCCGACTCTGGAGCACCGGCGGCTTTGTCTACTATTTCGAATATTGATGGTATCATAGCGCCTTCACTCATGAGTTGCTGCATCGCCGAGGGCGCTGCTTTTCCAAACGGCACATGTATCCACTCCGGTGCTGCGAGAAACGAGGCTTTCCGTGAGTGGATCCCCATGATGATCTGTCAAAGACGCTTGCGTGTCAACCAAGTCATCGGCAATATTCAGCCATTCAACAGCTGGTAAAACTTACTAAAGAAGGCCTTGCCCCGACAAACAGCTTGTGGGGAACGCCCGACGCGTAAAACTCTGGTCCAGATAGCCGCACCAGCTCCCCGAACCCCTGGAGATGGGCCGCCCGAGCATCCAAGGATGTCGGCAAGAAGATCTCGGCCAGGAGCAAGCACATGATGGCAGCGGCAAGCTGTTCTGGGCAACGCAGAGTATTGGACCGAAGGGCAGTCCGGAGGGATTGAAGTGCCAACCCATAAGCCTCGAGACCTGCGGGTATTGGGGCACTTCGCATCGGGCCCCCGGCTAGGATGGACACGGCAAATGCCTTGACTGCCGCGTCGAGGGCCGCGTCGGTTCTGTTGCCGATGAGATCAGGAAGCGCCTCCACCCAAGCGCCGCAAATTCGAGCCGGAGACTGCACGTCGGTGCTGCTGTGGCGGGGCAAGGAGAGCTGCGGCCCGGGCACATAATTTCGGATTATCAAGGTGATGAGATGGTCGAGAGGGACTGCCAAGAGAGGGCGTATGGCTAATTTCTGAGTGACAGCCTGGCCTTTTTCACCTTGGCTGCCCTGCCTGAGATGGCAAACTTGCGGCGCCACTACCCTCTCTGGACAAAAGGGATTGTGGACTTGCTTGTCACCTAGGTCGGCCCGACGGCCATTCCGAGTCTTTTGCGGGACAAAGATCCATTCGGACGAGTAGCCCGGGCAACAGAAGCCGCGTACGCTGCATTGAGAACAAGATGGCTGTTTCGCATCACACTACAAAGACATGAGCCGCTGAAGCAAAGACATTTGCAGGGGAGCAACTAGGTGAGGTACCTACTCGTATCTTCAGCTTTCTGCATGTTTGACATATTTTCCTCTGTTTAACCTTCATGGCGTTAAGGCGAGTCCGGAATTATCTGTCTGACTTTGCTGTCATCTGTCATCGCCAATCAAACCCCGAACGGTGGAGTGATACTTCAAGACAGTCTCCTAGCGACGCGCGCTAAGGACCGGACGAGGGGATCAGTAATGTTAAAGACCGTGCAGAGATATCCTCGTTTCCAAGAACGGATAAAGTCCAGAGTTCCGGGGGCAGCGAGAGCCGTGAGGGGAGACCAAATGGAAAGCAACCGCAGCTGACGCACCTTCCCGCCCTACAGCATCGAGGGGGGGGCAAGTCATCCCGACCTAACCGGATGCGGTGCCATATTCCGGTATGGCTCCCGCCATTGGCTATAGGTGGTGCTTGGAAAACGACGTGACATTGATTGTGTTCAATGTTGATAATTCTCGGCCAAATTGGAAATCTCGCTGCAGACGTCATTATGGGACTTTTCATGATAAGCAGATTGTGATTACGAGAGCAGAAACTATTATTAATGCCGAATTGAAAAGCTGGCGCCTGCGAGAAACTTGTATAAAGATGAAGCCCCGAATCTACAGGTCCGACTATGATCGACATTCTACAAAGAAAGTACTATCAAATCAAAACACCACACCTAATTCTCGTGCTACTTAGTCCCAACTCACTTACCAAACCCCAAACAGAAACTTATCTAGCTTCCCCCCTCTCCACCACCATGGCTCCCCACATCGACTTTGGCGTCCCCGTGAGCATCACCTACATCGGCACCGCCACGGCCATTATCCACATCGACGGCGTCAACTTCCTGACGGACCCCGTCTTTTCGCCCGGGGGAACCGAATGGTGTGCACTTTACCTACCCATAGTACCTACCCAACAGGCAGAAAACTAACATCCAGACCGCAGGGACGTGGGCGGCCTCAAGCTGACGCAGACCAAGAGCCCGGCCTACGGGCTCGCTAGCCTGCCGCCCATCGACGCCGTGCTGCTCAGCCACGAGGACCACCCGGACAACCTGGACGAGCCGGGCCGGCAGCTGCTCGACGGCCGCCGCGTCTTCACCACGCCCGACGGCGCGCGCAAGCTGGGCCCGCGGCCGGGCGTGCGCGGGCTGAAAGACTGGTAAACCACCTTCCTGCATACATTCGACGGCCTGTCTGGTCGGTCAAGTACTCAACAACCATGCATCAATGTTAACCGCACAAAAAAAAAACAGGGAAACAACAACCCTCACCATCGGCGGCCGCGAATTCAGCATCACGGCCACCCCATGCGAACACCTACCGGGGGGCGAATGCATCGGCTTCGTCGTCTCCTCGCCATCCTTCGGCACGCACTCACCCACCAACCTGCCCAACGCGCTCTACTTCTCGGGCGACACGGTGCACGTCGCCTCGCTGGGGCCCGAGATTCGTGGGAGGTGGCACGTGGCGGCCGCGCTGCTGAACCTGGGTAAGGCGTCGGTGGGGGAGCTGCAGATCACCATGGATGGCGCACAGGGGGTGCGTTTGTTTGGGGATGTCGGGGCGGATTTGCTCGTGCCGATGCACTTTGAGGCGTGGCAGCACTTTGCTGAGGACAAGGCTGATATGGTGGTGGCGTTTGAAGGGGGCGGGATCTTGGACCGGGTGTTGTTCCTGGAGCTCGGGGTTGAGACTTTGTTGACCAAGGCTTGATTGCGAGGAGTGGCAGAGAGGGATAGGTGTAGGAACCGGCAGGCAGTATGGGTTTGGACTGTGGAGATTATCATATGGATAGCACGTTTCGTCGTATGGGGAACGAGAAGAGACAGTAACCAATTTCATCTGAAAATTGAGCTCAAAGATATTCCGTCTGGTGCCTCTGACAGAACAACCACAGTCTGATGCCGTCTTACCAGATTCAAGGTCGAGGGCCAAAAAAATAATGACAGCAAAAGTCATATCAGCAAACGCCACCAGGCAAAAGCAATGCCCACATTCAGGTTTGAACTGAGGACCTTATCATTGAAGATGTGTAAATCTCTACTAGTGATACGCTCTGCCCCTGAGCCATGCGGGCCGAATGGATTCGCTTTGTCTGGCTCGGGGTGCACTGTGAATATAAACTCGTGCTGCTTTGATGGGGGGATCCTCAAGCATGTCAGGGAAAACGAGTTTCAAAAGAAATTAGGCATCTCCACCGCCCGTCCCACCGGCCCACTCCTTGTCTCAAACAGCTGCTCCGCAATTACATGTGGCACGCTCGAGTGGTGCCAGCTATCACGACATGGTAGCTGTCTCTGCTTTATCCCTTGCTCGAGAGATGCCGCCGAGCAGGATTTGCGCCAGCCTGTCTTGCAGCGACTTGTTGATTTCCTTGGGGTTGTCCCAGGGACGTGTGTCCACAATCTGAGTTCGAAAATTAGCATCAGTCACAACCCCACAGGCTCATCCATACGGGAACTCCACTTACATCTCGAATGCGGTGCTTGTCTTTGAGAGCGTCGTCTAGGAGATTGAGCCACCTTGCGGCGTCGTCGTCCTTGCCAATCTGCAGAAACTGGATGCCGAGCTGATTGGGAGGCGCACGGAGTCTGTCCAGTGTCTTCGCAGCTTCGACAATGACATCCTCGACTTCTTCCTTGTCGTCTGCGGCTCCGTCCGTGACGATGACTAGGTTCAGCATCTTGGGCCTCTCTGGCCGCGGCTTCTCGTTGAGCCTCTTCTTGTAGTCCTCGAACTTTTCCAGATAGGTCGTCAAGATAACCCAGAGCTGCTGGGATATGTAAGTCCCGCCGCCGCCCTCGTCGGGGCCAACCTCTTTGGTAAGCAGATCCAGAATTCTCTGCCCATCGGTAATGTTGTGCTCATCTTTCTCATCGTTGATAAAAAAGTGAACATCGACACCGTCCTTGTCGTAATGGCAGACGATGTTGACGATGTACTGGAGGCTCTGGATGAGTTCGTCCCACTTGGACTTTCCATTGTCATCTTGCTCCGACATGGAACCCGTATCATCGAGCAAGAAGACGGTATCAAACTGACTCAACATGGCGAACTCGTTCTTGTCTTCTTTACCTTGTGGCCCGGCTTGGACGAAGTCGTTCATGCTGACGGGCGCAACGGGGGAGTGGGCTCTTGTAAATGGATTATTGACCAACGGATCAATTGCTTTTGAATCAGGCGAGGGATAGACGGGGAGGGACATCAATGATGAGGCTGGCGTCACTGCACTCCCTAACCCTATAGAGCTGGACGTCGAGGATCGGGGGTCAGCGTATTGAGATTGCCAGAGCCCCGGTGATACTCCCGGGGAGAGCCCTGGAGAGAGCCCTGGAGAGAGCCCTGGAGATAGCCCTGGGGAAAATAGGCCTGGATATGGCGGAGGTGACTGAGTGGAGCCGACGGTCTGGGATCTGAGCAGTGGGCCCGGGTTGAACTGAGCTGGAGGGCTTCCGGGGGCCATGGAGGGAATAGTGTTGGAACCCGACAAGGATGATTGTATCATCCGAATCATGTGCTGTGACACGTTTCGGTAGCTCTCTTCTTGGTTATGTTGAAACCTGATCATTGTTCTATGATCCCCGTCAATCCCCAGAGACAGCGCGTTGAATGTGCTAGTAGCTGAATCAGGAAGTGTCACCTGTGAAGTCTGGTATTAGCAGAGGTTTTGGCACGAGGCTGCGAGCACGTAGAAGAAGACTGCGGCGCAAAAGAATCACTGAACGTACAAACTTGACGCTATACATGGGCTGCATCTCATAGGAAATCAGAATTGGTATTTTGGTTTCCTCGTTGCTTCGAAGCTGGTTGAACTTTGCCACGATTGTGGCTAGCTCCTCGGAACGGACTTTCAGGCTGTCGATTAGGGCTTCGTTTCCACGAAGGAATTTGACAATCTTGGAGCTGTAGTTGGCCAGGCTGGAACCCTCCTATTTTCCGCATAATCAGCACTTCGGAATCTCGAGAGGCTGTTCGATGGGACCTTGGGACAAGTATGGAATAGACAACTCACAAAAGGTGTGCCAAAAAAGAAGATCCCTTTAACCAAGATCTCGCCATTCTGGATGAAGATCTGGCGGTATGTCTCTTGCAGGTCGGATTTATCGGCCTTGTTGTGCAGGGCCCGTATAATTGCCTGTCATCTTGTCAGTCACGCACTGTAGCATTGATACTTTAGAAGAGAACAGGCACACACCTGGCAGGTCAAGAGTCCACCAAGACTGTGAGCCGCAAAGTACATTGGCCGAGTGGCACCCTACGAAGAGAGGTTAGAACGAAGCAGTGTGCAGTCATGGGGCGCAGGCGCTATACCTGAGGTCGATCAGCCATGATGGCGGCGAGGAGATTCTCGGCCGTTTTCTCGATGGTGGTTGTAGCGGACCAAGTGTTGAATGCACTCGCCCGGTAGCCGATGGTTGAGAAGCGCCCCGCAAGCTTGGGTCCTTTGGGGTCGTTAGGGTTCAGGGGCCTGTCCCGAACATCGTTGGGGAAGAAGTCTCTGGGCCACATGCGTGGAAAGTCCTTGTCGGTACTCCAGGACCTGAAGGCATGACCACCGAGCCCATGAATGAAGTATAGGCTGTGTGAGTGTGTAAGAAATGGGCCATCCCTAAATCACAAACAATCTGGGGAGGGGGGCACGCTTACTCAAACTGGGGATTTTCATGCTCGGCAATGGTGGTAACGCCGAGAAACTCATCGTTGACTGCGATCTTGGCCTCGATATCTGCCCCGGGCTCTGGAAGTCGGGGCCAGAAGGACTTGAGGTTCAGGCCGTCTCTCAGTGCCCTACACTTATCCTCGCTGTCTTGGCGAACAGTGACGGTGGTGTAGACCATGCCAGGCCTCAAGGAATCGCCCACGATGGGGCCGACGATGGGCTGGGCATTTGAATAGCGCTGGTTGATATGGTTGCGGACATCCTCATCGGTGGTGCCTCGGGGGAGGTTGCGGATGGTGAGTGTCAAAAAGGCGTCTTTGGCCATTTCGAGAGGCTTGGAGTAATTGGAGCAGGGTCGACTAAGACAATTGGGTGCGAATTCCAAGCATGTATGAACCGGCAGTTTTAGCACAGCCCACGCCAAGAATCGTGGGGGACAAGTCCCTTCTTATGGAGGAGGGGGGCTCCCTGAGGCTCTGTCGCAGTTGGGAGTGGCATGTTCTCAGAGTGCTACCGATGAAACGGCCAGCCAATGGAGGCCATGGATGGCAATTGTAATTTTGCCAGCGAAGTGTCTGGACAGTGAGTGCCATGTAAGCCGCCGAGTCCAGCTTTGTGCGGCGCCATGGCGGGTGAGTTGACTCGATGGGAATATGCCGCATGCTGATCTTTGCCCAATCGAGATGCTGCTGCTGATGGGCCAAAGGATCGGTGGCGTTTCTCCGGTGTTCGACTTGTCTCGGGCACTGGCAGGTTTACCACCTGTCAAAGGTTGCACGGGGCCAGCCTCGCAGCTTTGCCATGGCAAGACGGAGGGGCAGAGCCTTCTCGTTTGCACGCGTTTTGCTGATCCGAATATGCATGGCGTCGATAGCTCAAGGCAACTAACACTGCATAATACCTCTGGCAAGGCTGTGCTGTGTAGGCTAGGCCCCAGTGAGTCACGTTGACTGAGTTTGCGGGCCGCGACAGGTTCTGCAGCGCAGGGCAGGCTCGGGGATCTGCAGACTGCAATTGGTTCAATTGTGGGAGCGGGGGAGGGGGGGTAAGCACGGCGGCCATGGTGTGCGGCCATGGTGTTCGGCGCCGGTTTGGGGAAATCGGTGAATCAATGGCCTTTAACGTGCTCGGCCACGCCGGATAGCTGCCATGGACGCTACAGGACGGATGGGGCCGCATTTATGTTTCTTGACCAATCACGGTTGGCGCTGTATCAGAAAGAAAAAGACGGACAAGGAGGTTCTAAAATCGTCGCCTCAGGTACCCATTCATCCATGCGAAAGAGAGGCCAGGGCAATGTTCCCCTTGTTTTCGGCAGGGGCGGTCCAGTCAAACTTCGATTCAAATATGCGGGTAGGTCGATAGGTAGTGCGGGGCCACAGTCTGAACTTTATTTCGACTCCAGCACATTTTCCATTTGCATATTCGGGACTGGGATGCCATATTTCGGACCAAGCCAAGTCATGGGGTTGGTTCAACTATTGCAAGGCGGAAGTCCATTAGTTCTGTTCAATCCTCAGTAACCTTCGGCGGGAACTGCCTATGCTAATGCTCTATCCTTCCCAGTGACCCATCTCAAGTTTGTATTCACGGAATTGGTCCTCGAGGCTTTCCAAGATATAGTTCACATGCTCATCTAGCAACTTGTATCAAGTTAGTGCCGAGAGCTCGTACTATCAGAGAGCCCGCCGTACATAGGTCTCGCGGATAATCAGCCCAACAAAAGTAAAGAGAGAGCGAACTCCCAAATCTTTAACGATCTCAAGTTGCATCACTTACGGCGCTCCATGTCTGAGCGTCGTCCTGTCCAACAGGTGTCCGCTCGTAGGCCTCGGCGTAAGCAGTCCACCAGTCTAGCGTGACCCATTCAATTCGAAGCATGCCACCTTGGTCTTTTTCGGAAGAGAAGTCTCCGTCCAGGTCTTCAATGGCGTCGATGTACTTCCTGATCGCCCACCTCTCGCCGGGGTCCTTCTTGAGTCCGCTCGTAATTATCCGGCTCAGCTTCAGGGGCAGCACCGAGCTCCCGTCGTCGACCGGTTTTGACTCCGACCCCGCCTGCTTCAGTACATTCTCTGGCGGCCGCTCTAGACAGAGCTCCTGCCGCTTGTCGAGGATCTTGCAGGCCGCGACCGCGAAGGCGAAGACATCGGATGCCAGGCTCCAGGTGCGCGAGGATAAGATCTCCGGGGCGTGGAAGTCTCTAGCTTCGACGCTGGCATTGAAGGTGCCGGGGTCAGCGACGTGCTGTCCTTCGCCGATATCTGCTACCTTAGCCGAAATCTCGGACGAGAGGCCCTGTGGCTGATCTGGAAAGACCGTTTCCGTGACGAGAATGTTGTTGAGGTGAAGGTCCCTGTCCTTTTTATTAGTGCATTCGTCGACCGCTGGTAGTTCTCGATCTGACCTACCTGTGG